CCCCAAAACCCCAAAACCCCAAAACCCCGCTATGACTAAAATTCAATAATAATCTAGTATATAATTTGATTATAAAAATATATTAGTATTTAATTACTAAATTAAGGTTAAAAGATGTCACAGTCAGACTCAGAATGTCCTGTAAGCAATATGCATATTAATTAGCTCTAATCTATTTGCTTCTAGAATTGTGGGAAACTCCGAGATAAATTGAATGAAACTGTTCAGAAGAATGTTGAGTTAGAGAGCCTCAACGAGAAGCTATCCAAACAAATCGAGACACTCCGTATTGAATAGGAAGCAAGCCAAAAGAGAATAAGTGAGTTACTAGAAGATTCAAAGAAAAACACTATGTCCTAGTTCACTCTCGGGCTAAGCACCCTGCCTCAGTAACAAGATTTACCTGAATCTTAGGATTAGTCTACTCCAGGTAATCTACTAATAATACATTTAAAGTATAATCCTTAACTCTACTTAAATAGGTGGCAATTTGAAAAAGATACAATAAGAATTAAGAGTTAGTAAGAAGGCTGAATAGTTGGCAAAAGATAAGTTAGCTTAAACCAAGAAAAGTCTAGAGAGAAGCGAGAAGGACTTTAACAAGTACAAGGAGGATGCTGAGCTGAGAATTGAAGGACTTAAAAACGAGATTGCTATACTGCAGAAGCACTACGATTAGCTGCAAGACAGCATTAATGAGTCAGAAATGGAGAGATCTTAGCACAACAGTGCCAATGGAGACAAGAGTAATGGACTCATTAAGATTATTGAAGAGTACTCTAAGCAGTCTGAACAAAAGAGCAAGGAAATCGAGGCTCTTATTGCTAGAATAGACAAGAAGTAAGGCAAGTTGGATGAACTCAAGAAGAACAAGCTTGAAACTGACTCCAAAATGATTAAGCTAAAGAGCTCTCTAGATAACGTGAAGACCTTCTTAAGACTCCTAAACAATAACTATATGAAAACCATGAAACAGCAAAGCCAAAGTCTGAAAGAGCAGTTTACTATTTATCAGGCCGAGTATCAAAAGGAGATATAATCAGTAAGAGAAGGGGTTTCAGTCTAGATCGGAAAAATCTTAGTTAGAAAGGAGAAGGAGTTGAAGGATATAATCACAGCTGAGAAGCAAAAATCACTTCAATTAGAGAACAAACTCGAGCAAATATAGAAAGAGTTCACAGCAACTTTTGGCCAGGCTAAGCAAGATTATGAGCAGAATATGTCAAACCAGAAGGAGACCTTAAACAAAAAGATCTTAAACCTTAAGGAAAAGGTCAGCTAACTCAGCACTCAATAGCAGAGTGAAGGTGATCAGAAGAATCAACTTAAGGACTAATATACACTGAGGATATAGTAACTAGAGAAAGACAACGAGCTTTTATCAATTAAGATGAAATCTGAGTAGGATAAAAATTAGATTTAAATTTCTGAGCTTAACAAAGATTTGACCAATAAGCAGGCTATCATAACTGACTTGAAGGAGAAGAAAAACAGTCTCTAGAGTAAGTACGAAGAGCTAGCTAATAAGTATCAATCTGATTTACAAAAGCTGAGAGACAAACTAGAGGAGGAGAAGAATCAGTGGATCTTAAGAGAAACAGGAGTTTAGAGGACCAGAGAGAACGAAAGGATACAGGAGATTAAAAGTCTTTATGAAGTGAAGTCAAAGGAAAAAGAGGATGAGATCAATAGGTACAGAGACCATATCTCCAAGATTGAAGCTGAATTGACCAGCATTAAGCTTGTAAACTTGAAGCAGGTAGATGGGGTTATGGATGAAAGAATGGAACTTGAGAAGAATCTCATCTTGTTTAAAACGCAAGTCACTGATCTTGAGAGAAAATAATCAGAACTAAATGCTAAAATCAATAAGCATAAAGAAAAGAAATAGCAATAATAGGAAAAGATAGAACTACAAGCTAAAGAAATTTAAAATAACTAAAGCGAGTTAAAATCTTTGACTATTAAAAATTAAGATCTTAAGACAGCTAATGAGAAAATTAATGAATAGTTGACTAAATAAAACTCAGCCAAACTTGACCTTCAGGCCTAGAATGAAATTCTCAAAGAAAAATTAGTCTAACTTGATAACTAATTTGATCAAGTGAGATTTGACCTTAATGATGAGGTGAAGGATAAAGAAAGCCATATTGAAAGACTTACCATATAAATCAAATAGCATGAAAAATCCATCCATTAATTAAAGACTGAGTTGAATGCTGCTAAACAAGAGAAAGAAAACTCTTTATAGTTGAATCAGTAATATGAATCCCAAATATAGTAAGCTCGTTAAGAGAAGCTGAGTCTATTTGACTAAATTTAAGCATTACAAGAAAACCTTTCATAGATCTAGCAATAGAATATCACTTTATAGACTTAGTAGTAATAATAAGTAGCAGAGCCTCCAAAGGAGAAGAAGAAGCGAGTAGTAAAAAAGAAGAAGACATCTGAATTTTCAACCTAAACTGAGCTAGTGCAATAAGCTGATTGTGAAATCTAAACTGAAAATCTTTCAGAAATTGTAAAAGAAATTGTAAGAGAGAGCAGAGAAGAGCCGGCCTAACCTCCCAAGCTGAATTCTCCTGTGATAAGAGGAGAGTATATGGGTAATTATTCTGATTTATTTAATTGAATTTTTAAGAAGAAGATTCTTTTGTTGCAAAACAAGTAGAGGAAAGCCAGGAGAGAAAGATAGAGAGAATCATTGACCAACCTGATATGGCTATGAGAGGACCATAGTTCGGAAACCCAAGAATGCTTCCACCAAATTAAATGGGAAGAGGTAGAGGTGGAATTTAACCAAGACCTCAAATGAGTCAGCCAAGACCCAGAGCTCCATTTGGTATGGTCTAATAACAAAGACCAGCATTCTAATAACAAGAATAGCCATTCTAGTAAAATGAATAAATTTAGCCATAGGTTTAAGAAATCAAAAATTAGACTCCTGGTTAAGAAAATGATTTGATCAAGCAACAAATTCCCGTATAGGAAGAGCAAAGATTCCAGCCAGCTCCAGTAAGATAAGAAATTCAAAGAGAAGAATTTAAGGTTCATCATTAATAGCAAGCGCTACCTCAAATCACCTAGAACTAGAAATAACCAGATGAAATACTTACACAAAGATCAGAGGTTAGACAAGAAATCCAGGAGGAGATCAAATAAGCTCCAAAGACATAGATACAAGAAGAGGAGAAGTCAGCTCCACCTACATAGCCTCCTTAGAATAACAATTAGCCAATCATGTAATAAAACACGAACCAGCAGCCATTATTGGATCTGAGAAACAATAGGTTCTTTGGAATGATCAATGGTTTCATTGGGTTCCTGACTAGAAGAAAGTAAGGATATACTGGAAGGCCAGCATCATAAATGTTTTGGGATGAGAAGAAGAAAAGATATGTGATTGAAGGAGACGATGAATCAGATGATGATATTCCACCCCCACCTCCTCCAATGAAGAAATAAGTCGCTGAGGAAAAGTAGGATGACAAGAAAGTGGAGGAATTAAGCACTGTAACAAATCCTATGGATCTGACTAGACCCGCTCTGCCAGGATATTTAGCCAATAGAGGAAGAAGCCGAGGTGCCAGAGGTGGCTCTACTGTTGCCTAAAACAGATTCCCTCAAACCTTTGGAATGAATTAGATTACAGAAACTTAAATTGAGAGGAAATAAGAGAATGAAAAGACTTAGCAGGTAGAAATTATGAATATATCAGCTAATGAAAGTCAATAAAATATTGGGAACGAGACTTAAAGATCAATCAAGATGGAAGAGCGGAACAATGAAACGGATTTGAACCAGACTACTTAATTACAGTCAGACTAGAGAGAAGAGCAGTAAACAGAGTTATATATGACAACCCTTGACATTACTATGAATCAGACTTAAATCATCCAGGAGTAGTCGGAGAGAAGACAAGAGAAAAAAGCTGAGTAATAAAAGCAAGATGAACAGACTCAAATCACTCAATCAAGATATGATGAATTAAGAGAATCCCAATGGTTGGATAAGTTTTCTTCCTAATAGGAAAAAATTAATAATCTAAAATATAAAATATCAATGCTTCAACAAGAACTTAAAATGCAAAGAGAAGAAAATGAGTAGACCGTGGAGAACTTCACCTTGCTTTGCCAAGATTTGAAGTTCAAAGGCATGGATGAAGTAGAAGACCTGCAGAATGATATCTAGATACTCAGAGACCAGCTGAAGGAATTGGTCAATGACAAAGCTGTTTATGAAATCAAAAACTCTCAGTTAGCTGATTCGTTGAGTTATCTTGAATCTGAGAATGAAGAGATAAGAGGCGAGCTTAGCACTGCTAGAGTCAGATTGATTCAAGTTCAAGTCGAAAATGAAAGCATGAAGAATTAAATTAAGGATGTATAGTAAGTTGAAGAGAAAGAAGATAATTCCTACAAAACCATCCTTGATCTTTAGAGTGAAAACTCTAATTTGAAATGGCAGAAAAGTATTTTAGAGGCTGAAAAATTATCAAAAACTATTGAAATTAAAGATCTTCAGAGCTAACTAGACTTTACTCAACCAAGAGCAGCATAACTAGAGAAAGAAAATACAAAGCTAATTGAGGATCAAAGGTTATTGCAGCAGGAATTAATATAGCACTAACAAGAGACCTAAATTAAGTATGAAAAAGAAAAGGAAGCACTCAAGGATGTCATTAACAAGGTATAACTGGAGAAAGAAAGAGTTTAGGAGCAAAACAGAGAAAGATTCTAAGAATATGAGTCTAGATTAAAGCAAACTGAAAATGATAAATAGAAATTTGAATAGGACTTGTCAAAGCTAGCCAGAGAAAAGGAAATCATCATAGAGCAGCTAAAGAATAAGAATCTTGCCTTAGCTTAGACTATTCAATAGAGGGAATCAGACATTACTTTCCAAAAAGATCAGATCAATCAACTTTCCTCTAAGGTTCAACAATTGATATAGAAGAGACAAAGTGAAAGTGAATAGGCCGAAGTAATGATGAAGAATTAACTCAAACAAATTCAAGATATGCTTCAGCAGAAGACTTCGTAACTTCTATAGTACGAGAACAAGTAAGAGGAGATTAATCTAGAGCTGAATAATATGAACATGATTAGACACAAACTTACTGAGAACATTGTTTACTTGCAAAATGAGATAAGAAAGAGAGATGAGCTGCTTGAGACTTCTGAATTTGGAGACTTTGAGTTCATTGGAGATGAAATGGACAGCATGATCGCTCCAGAAGACGAATCAGTCAGGGGCTAGGACCTTCAGAGCAACAAAGGAGATGATGATGCTAATGGTGGAGCAGCTGCTCTTTCTAATAGACATCTATAAATGGTGAGCATGAAGAAGAAGAGAAAGACTTTCGGTTAATAGCTTCAAAACTAACTAGATGAAGCTAGAGCACAATTGAAATAGCATATAGAGGAAAAAATGAGAGTGCAGAGATAGTACCAACTATTAGATAGAAACTATACCAAAATAGCTGAAGGACTTTAAGATATTAATTAGATCTTGGATTAATAGTAATAGAACTGTGGAATCAACCCATCCAACTTTGAATAGTCCTCATAGCTTTATCAAGAAGAGGAGACAAAAGTGTCTGATGAAAAAAATGCAAGCATCAAGGATGACAGTTTGATTATGAAGGGTGCTAAGATGGATGAAATCTAACACCAAATCATTCAGAAAGTATTCTCTATCTCAAGGCACTATGAGTCAGAGATCTCAGAGTAAAACCATAAGTACAAGATGATAGTCATGCAACTTGAGGAAAGCGAGAATCTTAAATTTGACATTGAAATACTAAATGATGAAAAGGCAATGATTGAGTAGGAACTTTTACAATCGAAAATTCAACAAAGAGAACTAGAATTTAAAAATTAGGAGCTTACCTAAAAATCAAGCTTCATGATTAAGACTGAAGAAGACTTGAGAGCTTAAATTGATTAAATGCAATAAAGAGTTGAGAAGCAACAGTAGAGAGAAAGATAAGACTATGAGAAATAATTGAATTCTCTCAGAGATGAAAATTTCAGAAAGATCAATGAGATTAATGATAACTTTAACAATTAGATTCTACCTTAAATTTCTCAAAAGAATCAAGCTAAGATTAAGAGTCTATAGGATCAATTTATCCAAATGAGAGAAGACTTTAATAATCAACTCTAGGAACAGAAGAGAATTTAAAGAGAGCTCGAGAACAAAAACAAATCGATTTTAGACTAGTCTCAGCTTTAAATTGAAACTGAATCAGAGGAGAAATACAGACTAAAAGAACAATTGAACTTCTTAGAGATTCAAAAGCAAGAACTGGAGAACTAGTTATCATCGGTTAAGCTAGGCTATCAAGGTAAAATTAACTAACTCAACGATGACATCAAGGCTCTTAAGAGTGAGATTGATTTACAAACTAAGCAGTTCGATGAGTATAAGGACAATCTTGAGAGAAGCTTTAGAGAAGCAGCTTTGAAATTGAAAGCTAAAATTGATGAGAAAAAGAAGCAAATGAAAGACATGCAGACTAAGTTCAGAGAATAATTCGAAATAGTTATCAAATCTCATTAGGAGGAAGTAACTTAGATAAGAAAAGGAGATGAAGAAAAGTTAGAAGCTGCCAATAGACAAGTTTTATCTAATAAGTAAACTGAGGATTCTCTGAGAAGTGAAATTTAAACTTTGAAAGATTAACTCAATCAACAATTGAATGAGTCAATCAAAGTATCTAGTGAATAATAAGAGGAATTAAACATAAAGCATTAATCACTCCTTAATGCAAAGGATCAGGAAATTTAGTCACTTTAGAGTGAACTAAGCTCCGTCAAAACTTTATTAGAACAGCAGGAATCTGAGAATAAAAAGCTGTAAGAAGAGAAGAGTGAAATTTTAGTGGTACCATAAGTTGATGAAGCTAAGATCAAGGAATATGATGATACTATTTCTCAGCTGAATAATAAGCTTAAACAAATTGAAGTGGATCAGTAGAGTCAAATTGAGAATCAGTAAAACATTACTAGATAGGTGAAGCAACAACTAAGAGAGGAGATTGATAAACTCAATATTGAAATCTCAGAACTCAAAGAGAAGTTATCTTAAGCAGCAGATTAAAAAGAAGAATAGTCAGAGTAAGAACAAAAGATTAATGAGGTCGAATCAAAGAAAGATCTTGAGATTTAAGACCTAAGTAAATAAGTAACTGAGTTTGCTGATAAAAATAAGCAGCTAGTTGAATAGATTGAAAGACTGGTCAATGAAAAGCATGAATTAGAGGCTAAATTATCCTAGATATCTGAAGTTAATGCTTAAAATGAGGGTATATTAGTATAGATAACTGCCAAGGATGAGGAAATAACTACTTTAAGACAAGATATGTATAGGTATCAGCAAGATTAGGAAAGGATAATCTCTGAACTAAATGATAAAATCTAATAGCAGGAAGCTGCAAGCAAGGAGAATGAGAGTAAAGTAGATTAGAATCAAATAGATCTTCAATTGCAGATACTAGAATCAGAATTTGAAGCTAAAATGAAGGTGAAAGAAGAAGATTTTGAGAAGGAAAAGTAGGATATGATAGAGTATTTCAATGGGAGAGAGTCTGAAATGAAGACTATGACTGAATAGATAGCTCTGAAACTTAAGGGAGATATCAAGAAGCACAAGGAAAAAGCTAAGAATGTGCTGAATGCTCTTGAATAAGCTCAGAAAGATAAAGAGCAGTAGACTTAAAACATTGAAGAGCTTAATAACTAGATTAGGAGACTGTAGCAGTAAAAGATAAGTGTAGCCTAATCGTAGATAAAAGAGTTTTAGGACTAAATAGATGCTCTTAACTTAAAGGTAAATGAACAGGACAAAGAGCTTAAATAATCTCAAACTCTGCTAGCTCAATCTAGAGAGGACACTTAGAGCTTGCTAGATTTCTGTTACTAACTAGCAAGTTTAATGCAATAGAAATTTGAGGTAATTGGAGAGTCAGACTTGGTAGTTGACACGAAGGATGATAGAGAGTCATTCTATAATTTGCTTAATCAGAAATTGGGTGAACTACTATAAAATTTTGAAGAAGATAAGAGAGCTTTAAGATCCTTAATGGATGAGAAAGAGCATCTAGAGAGTCTCAAAGACTAATACTACCATCAGGCTGAATCATTACTGTCAGAAAAGAGCGTTCTCCAAGATAAGCTGGAGTAAAGTGATGCAATGAAGCTAGAGAAAAAAGTTAAAATGATGGAAGAGGAAAGAAGTGAGATGCGAAGTGACTTTAACATCAAGATTAATAGCTTCGTCATGGAGATTGATGATCTTAAAACAAAGCTATCAAGGTATGAGGAGCCAATCCCATAAATTGAATAAAGCGAGTAGTCAATCAAGTAAGGCTAAGTCAACATACTTGACGATATGTCTATGTCAAGGGCATCTTAATCTGAGATAGTCCCAACCTTTATGGATTAGAGTAAGATGAGTGTTATCAATCAAGCAGCAGTCAACTAGGAAAAGAAACAAGGCAATTATCCAGGCTAATAACAGATCACTCAACAGCAAAAGAGTGGACTGTTTACTAGCATTGCCTCGTTCTTCCTTACCGACAGTGAACTTGATACTCAGTGAGACTATCATAAGTATCCTGATCATGGCTAATTAACTACAATTAGCTTCAACTAAAATACTCATTTATGAGAAATATGAGCAAATTTAATATCTTTATTTCATAATCAAGCCATCACATAATTATATCTCGATTTATAATTCAGGGGTTTTGGGGTTTTGGGGTTTTGGGG